TTCGTTAAACCCAAAATAAGGAACTACAATGGAGACTACAGGTAGTCTATTGTACTCCAAGGTTCCAGTCTTATTCCCAAACCCCTATAGCCAAACTATACACTGGCCGTACAAAGCCATATCAAAGTTCTCAGAAACCCTAAACCCTAAATCCAAAAATGGGACTCTAAATCCCAAACCCTAAACCCTAAACCCAAAACCCTAAACCCCAAAAAGCCTAACCAAAACTCTTCATCGACCTCCGCGAAGGGGAAGCTGTCCGACTTCATCTTCGACAGGAGCAAGTCCCAAGCCTGGCTCAGGCGGAACCCGGGACAGCGAAGCGTGTGATTTAGGGTTTAGGGTTTAGGGTTTAGGGTTTAGGGTCCCTAAATCCCAAAGCCTAAACCCTATGGGATAGGCACCTTCGATACTATTGCATATATGGGTCTGTATATACTTGGGGTGTTGTCTTGCGGATCTTGAATCATCATCCGGCACCTTCCTGCCCATCTATGGAGCCCCGAAAACCACACCCCGGCAATCCTGATTTCCCCTAATTCGAGTACCCTGCCGTACAACCACAGACTATAGACTGCTTTCTGGACCATATAGAATTCTTGCACGCCGGATTCCCGGTGTTCGCTTCCTTGCCTTGTTGGGGAATCACATGTAACATACCATAGCAAAGATAACTCAAAAAAGGACCCTAAACCAAATGCAGCGAAATCGAAGAAGCCAAACCCCAAAGCCCAAAGCCCCAGCAGCATTCCCATTTCCTGGCTCTGGGCCCGCCTCTATCCACATCAGCACCGGTGAGGTGACGCGAGCAGGTACGTCCGATGGAGTCATGCCGCCGGAGGTCTTGAAGTGCCTTGGCGTGCTGAGCTGTCAGCGAAGATATGCCGTAACAGCTCCTGCAGTGCCTGGTGTTGCAAGACCCTTTGAAGGTTACCAATAGTCTCCATTGTAGTTCCTTTTTGTTGGGTTTAACCAATTCTATATTAAGGATCCTAAAAGGTAACCCCAAGAAGGAACTACAATGGAGACTATAGGTAGGGTCTGTTTCAGCCCCCGGTGCTCAACTTTAAAGTGCTGCACCCAGGCGCCGCGGCATTTGGGTTTAGGGTTTAGGGTTTAGGGTTTAGGGTTTAGGGTTTAGGGTTTAGAACATGTGTCCTTTGCTGCGAGAATTGTTTGGTTCATTGTCAGGACACTTGTTGCGACAACTATTGTTGCAGAGAAACAAATAATTTTATGTCGTCCGCATCCTAGCTCGTCTTGGGATTTTGGGGTATGAATAAAACATGGAAAAAACGTGAATACAAACGTGAAAAAAACGTGACGGCACAGTCACAACTCACAA